TTCTACTTTAACACATATGGGGTTAGTGGTTATTTAGCACTGCATTCCCCATGCCCCCCAGGTATGACTTTTTTTTTTCTTACTTAAAGTAGAATGTTTGCATCCCCAATCAGAAAAGGGGAAAGTTAGAGTTTAATGTAGCTTGTCATCATGAACTCTTGTTACGATGTATGTTTCCTACCCTTTATTTAGATTTAAAAAATCTACTGCCTACATTTATGACTGACTTATTCCTTGAGGATGCAGTACTAACATGCTATGAACTTGAAAAACAGCTATTTCTCATGGCTTCTACATTCCGAACATGCTTTCTTTCCCTGTACACTTGATTTCCTCTCTTTCCCTTTCTCTTCCATCTTAGTCCTGTTTTTCTGTGCTGTAATGTGGAGACTTGTTCATCAGTATAATGTCTTAGGTCATTGCTACATACACAATTTCAAACTGCATGCCTGTTAAATCGGCAGGAACTTTGTTTTTTACCTCTGTCTCTCTAAATGGTAAAAAGGAATATCATACAAACTCTAGTTTGTATTATACAAACTCTAGCGTCTTAGTTCCTATTTATGGCTTGTTTGTAGATAGGCAAAATATACAGAATGTCAAGAACACAGCTATATCAGAATCCAGACCATCCTTATTCTATTATTTTCTAATGATATTCCCACAAGCAGCCTCTCAAAGAAGAAAACAGAGTTGTCATTAAGAAACATACATAAATGGCCATTCACCTCCATTTTTTTTTTTTAAGTTGAGCTTATTTCCAGGTTATAAATATCATTTGATTCCCTATTCTATGATTTGGTTTTACTAACAGGAAAAAATATTGCTACTTTCAAGGAAATTATTGCTTCTTCTCCACGGAACATTTGAATTTAGATTCACTGTTTTTCCCATGGTCACTATTCAAAAATATAAAAAAGATATAATTTGTACATTAATAATGGGGATTTTTGTTATGATTTAACAATACTCTGAAAATTGTGCCTCAGTAGCCAAATCTCAACAAAGTAGAGGTCAAGTTCCATGAGGGAACAGTTCATATATCTTTCTTGAGATCTTTTTTTTTTTCTTATTATGCTTTAAGTGAAAGTTCACAGTTCAAGTCAGTTTCTCATACAAAAATTCATACACGCATTGATATGTGACCATAGTTGCTCTCCCTATAATGTGACAGCACACTCCTCCTTTCCACCCGAGATTTCCCGTGTCCATTCAGCCAGCTATCTCCTTCTGCCTTCTCATCTCACCTCCAGACAGAAGCTGCCCGTCTAATCTCATGTATCTACTTGAGCTAAGAAGCACTCTCTTCATGAGTATCATTTTATGTCTTATAGTCCAGTATAATCTTTGTCTGAAGAGTTGGCTTAGGGAATGATTTCAGTTCTGATCTAAAAGAGCGTCTGGGAACCATGTCTTCTGGGGTTCCTCCAGTCTCAGTCAGATCATTAAGTCTGGTCTTTTTACTAGAATTTCAGTTCTTCACCCCGCTTTTCTCCTGCTCCATCAGGGACTCTCTGTTGTGTTCCCTGTTGAATCAAACAATCATATGGTCTACTATGCTGGGAATGACAACTTGAAGAGGAACGGTGTTGCATTCATCCTCTAAAAGAATGTTTCAAATCTATCCTGAAGTATAATGCTGTCAGTGATAGGATAATATCCATATACCTACAAGGAAGACCAGTTAATACGACTATTATTCAAATTTATGCACCAATCACTAAGGCCAAAGATGAAGAAATTGAAGATTTTTACCAGCTTCTGCAGTCTGAAATGAAGAGTGAGAAGATATAAATTCTGAGACTTCATAAGACATGTCTAAGATTAAATTATATAAGCCTTAAGAAGAGAGGTATTTCTTATTTAAAATGAGCAAAAAAAAGTGCTTATCTAAGAAGCTACTCTTAAAACGAAAGTTATCCTATAGTCTTAAGAAGTCTTTTGGGAATAAACAGTTTGTCTTATTTTTCTAAGAATAAGAACTTCTCTTCTGGGGATTAGGACTATGAATTTAGGATATGAAAATCCTTCTGTCCATTAGCTTTTAGAGTCTTCAGAACCAGGGGAGTTGTGCCAGAGAAGAAGCCAAAACTTGGTGTGGATTCTCATAGACCCAGACATTTTAGAAGTTATCCTTTGCTTCATGATGAAGGGGAAAAATCAACATTAAAATTTCTGATGAGAGTTTTAATGTTTCTGTCCATTCCTGAAAGTTTATTTTATTTAAAGCTACCTCAGGGCTAGGGTGACTAGATGAACGTCCTATTTAGTTAGGTGATTTAATTTTATAAAGCTGTTGCTCTGGAAACCCTGGGGGTGTAGTGGTTAAGAGCTACGGCTGCTAACCAAAACGTCAGCTGTTCGAATCCACCAGGTGCTCCTTGGAAACCATATGGGGCAGTTCTACTCAGTCCTATAGGTTGCTATGAGTCAGAACCGATACGACAGCAATGTGTTTAAAATTAGAAAGTGCTGACTTTGGAGAGGAAAGTAGACAACCATGAGTCAAGAAGTTTTTACAATGTATTCTATGTTAGATTAGAGTTTGAATGGGATGGTTGTAAGACCGTTAGATAGCCATGATTTGGTGAGTCTGTATTTCTCCCCATGTCACATTTGACCAAGGACAAATGAAAATAGCCATTAAGGCTGAGATCAATCTAATTACTATGAACTCATGCACAGGACTAAACCTGAAATCTTAGGAACATAAATTCATTGCATTGGCTGCTGGTTTTCTTAATAAGTAACAAATGTCCATGATGAGATTATGAGTATGAGCAGTCCATACGATGCCAGCGACTTCTTTTTTTGATCAGTGTGGCCTATTTCAAAATCCCAACTTCAACTTGACACACATGAAATAAAAATTTAACACATATTTGCTAAAAAGATTCTCTACGGTCTTAGACAAAAGTTATGTAAGGTAAATATCTGATAAATTCTTATTTCTCTAAGTGTTGATCTTGAACAGTAACCAATTATGTGTGTGGAGGGAGGGGATTGGAGCTACAAGTACTTGATCTTAGATTTTTTTTCCCTGATATTTTATGTGGCAACAGATAGAGTAGCGTCAGATATTTCATTGACGAAGTCTTCTTTTATTTACTACTGACTACTTGTATTACCCAATCAGAAAACTCTTAATCTTTTTTCAGTGTGTCTATTAGCTATCATCTATCTGTTTATCATCTTTCTGTCTACACAAATGCACACACACGTATATATCAAGTAGGACTGTATCACTCATTTTTCAATCTTTCACCCTACAAATCTGCCTTTCATTGTTAATCTTATTTTATTACCTCATTCTGAAAATAGAACTTTCCTAAAAATGTTTGTTTTTTCACTTGTATGTCTTATATATGTAAATGTCATGTATGTGTGACCTCATGATGCTTAGTTTCAAATAAAAGATTGAAAGTTTTTGATAACTGTGAAGGGATATACAAATACTGTATGATGATATCACTGTTGTTGTTATTTCATTCTGGAAATCAAACTTTCAAAGAAATTTCTTAGCATGAATTCTAATAAACAAGTTGCTATCTTTACCTTTAGTTATAAAGATATTGGTGCTATTCACTTTTATAATTGTGGCTGTCACTGAGAGGAAAATAAAAGTTTAGTCTGCCATATGAACATATTAATTAGTATTTATAGAGCCTTCAGTTGCCTTGTACTGATTTGCCCAGTTGCTATTTCAGTATTTAAAAAATAACTCCAAAATTTCCATATAGATTTATTTATAAAGAAGATATTCTCTACTATACTTCCCCCCACTCCAGATAGAACAGTTTATAGTAATTTAGGGAGAGAATAAAGCTCTGGAATAGTCAGTATTTATCTTGTTTTTAAGATGATGCTTTTGTGTATATAATGTGAATTGAAGAGAGCCTCTTGGTTTGTCATATACAGAGTGCAGGTTTTCCCAACCTAGAACACATCTTCAGGGAACTTTTTGTTTAATAACTAAAGAAGATGCTGGAAGATCATTAAAAGAAAGGAAGAATAATTCCAATTATTAATGAGTCTACAATTATTCTTGGAATGAACCCTGTTGGTTCAGGGGTTAAGCATTTGGCTGCTAGCCAACAGGTTGGTGGTTTGAACCCACCAGCCACTCCCCAGGAGAAAGATGTGGGAGTCTGCTTTTGTAAAAATTACAGGCTTGGAAACCCTATGGGCAGTTCTACTCTGTCCTATAGGGTCCCTATGAGTTGGAATCGACTCCACAGTACACAACCACAACAACAATTATTCTTAGAGTCATTCTAAGCGGGTGTCAGAACATTCTAAACATGAAGTAAAATTCTTTCAAGTAAGCATTCTTTGATTATTAGTGACATTAATAATTACTAGTGACACTTGGTGATGGAGTGGTAATGGAAGTGGCTTTCTTCCCTGTTTGACTTCATTTATAGTAATGGAAACTGAGACAAGGAACGGAGAAATGGTTTAGATAAATCACTATGTGTGGAAAGGTAATCTAAAACCCAGTTCTGTTTCTGAGTACTTTTGAGTGTCTACATTTATTCTGAAGAATGGCAGGTTGTAAATAATCCAAGCTACTTCTGGTAACCTGTGTCTGTCACTTTTCTGGATAGTTCAAGTATCAATGTTTTTTGCCTTGAAAATATTTTAATTATTTCCATGTTCAATGGAGAGACAGAGGTAAGAGATATTTTATTATTTTGAATTTTACAATTGCAATCCTCTCTCTGTTTTTGCATGTGTGTGTCTATAAATGTATGTACTTATTTCTCCTCATATAGAAAATGGCATGGATTGTCCAGAGACATCAGTCCTATATTTTAGGTCTGATTTTGAGTTAGTTACTACAGTGACCAGCCATGTGTCCTATGAGATGTTACTCTTCTTGGATTTTTAATTCCTCTCTAAAGCAAATGGATTCAATTAAGTAAACTCCAAGGTTCCTTCAGGCTTGAAATTTTACTAAATTCATATAGATATCATCAGGCAGAGCATGTATCTGTATCCTATTTTGAGAAATATGTGGTATGAAATTAACGGGGGAAATGTTTCATTTCTATTGCCCTCTTCAGGGCATCCTTTACTTCCTTGTTCCTTAGGCTATAAATCAATGGGTTTAACATGGGAATCACTAGGGTATAAAACACAGACACCACCTTTTGTTGTTCTAGGGAGGAGCTTGGTTGAATGTAACTAAAGTTATAGAGCCATAGAATAAAGTCACAGCTGTCAGATGTGAGGCACAGGTGGAGAAGGCTTTGTGTCTACCAGCCGCTGAGTGGATCCTCAGGATGGCAGCAGCAATGAAGATGTAGGAGACGATCACAGTCAGGAAAGTGATCATGGTAATCACACCATAGAAGGTTAAAAGCAACAATTCGTTCATGGATGTGCCAGAACAGCTCAGCTTCAGAAGGGGAGGAAGGTCACAGAAGAAGTGGCTGATAACATTTGGCCTACAGAAAGAGAGTTTTATCAGGTCAATTGTGTGTGCTAATGAGTTGATTAAGCCTCCTACACATGATCCTATGACCAACACAACACACACTATTTTAGTCATGGCCACTGTGTAAAGTAGAGGGTTTACAATAGCCACATAGTGCTCATAAGCCATTGCTGCCAGCAAAAAGCCTTCAGTGGTTATGAGTGACACAAATAAAAAGTATTGCACAATGCATGCAGAAAATGATATTGTCTCCAGTTCAACAAAGAAGTTCAGCAGCATTTTGGGTGCAAAGACTGATGAGTAGTAGGCATCTACAAATGAAAGACAGCCAAGGAAATGGTACATGGGAGTGGGGAGCTTGGGAGTGATTTGGATTAGGAAAAGCATTCCCAGATTCCCCACCAAAGAAATGACGTAGATCAGCAGGAACAACATGAAGAAGGCCACTTTCCGTTCAGAAAGCTCTGTCAGTCCCAAAAGAATAAACTCAGTAACCACTGTAAAATTCTCACGAACCGTTTGTTTTTCTTGATACCTGCTAATGATAAGGAGATTGGAATAAATTAAGAGAGAGTAATGGAGCTGCAATTTCAAGACTATTTTCTTGACTAGCTTTGTGAGTTGAGTTAGTAAATCCCCACTTTGTGGTTGTCTTATTTATGAAATTAGAAATTTTTAAGTAAAAATACCTTAACTCTTCAAGCACTGTTTATTTGCATGTTACATTAGAAAATCATGAGGGTTTTAATAGTTTCAAGATTCATTGATAATGTTGGTGTTGATGTGAAGAAAAAGTTAAAGTGAATTTCATCCTAAAGAGACATAAAGAAAAAAGTCCAGCTTATGAAAGATTAATAACTGACTTTGGAAATATAAACTGTTCTCACTGAATATTTTTTTTAAACTTCTCATTTTGGATTTAATAGTAGCTTCTATCAAATATATGCCTGGGTGGTGCAAGTGGTTGACTTTGGGCTGCTAATCGAAAGTTGGAGGTTCTAGTTCACCTCAAAAGAAAGCCCTGGTGATCTACCACCAAAAAGTTAGCAATTGACACGCATGGATCGCCATAAGTCAGAACTGACTCAGCGGCAACTGGTTTAATATCACATATATCAAAATATGGGAATAATCTATACTATGGAATTTAAACCTGAGACGTTCCATATATGCTTAGTTTATACTTCAAATTTAAGTTGGAAGTGATGAAAGACAAGGCTCTAGCATTCAAAAACGTGGAGTTATCATCCTTTGAAAAGAGCTAGAGGTATTGGCTTCTGAGAAGAGTGCCCATTGGGAGTGGGGGAAGAGGCCCTGTGAGCTGGAAAATAAAACATGGTAGACATCGATTTATAATTTTAATTGATCTTTGATGTTCAATAGAAACACCTTACTGAGACTCAGTAAACAGAAACCTTCACACTTTTTCTGAGAAAAAGTTAAAGCAAACCTAGGTGATAAAGCAAACCTATAAAAGATACAGTTACTCCTTTGCAATACTTTCTTTTATATTTAATGTGCAATACAATGCTTAGAACATGCAGTGTCTTTTCCACGCAACCAGTGCTCGTCTGTTTGATTGTCTCTATATTCATCCTGTTATATTAACTAGCTTTTCATATTTATATAAAAATATTTTAAACAATCCAGAATACCATACATACATACATAAAAGATCATTTTTTCTTTGTGGATTCCTCATACATTCATTGGGAGATACAATTCCTTTAGCACAGTAGATAAAATTCAGAAAAAGAAAAACATTGCAAGGCTACTAAAAAATAAGAAATGAGGAGAAAACAAATATTTTAACTCAAGAGTATCTGCAGTGTCAGGTGAGTAATTTCCATGGGAATATGTAGTCAGAGCTTAGATTGCAATGCAGCCTACAGGAAAGAAGTTTCGCAAATAGAATTAAGACAGTGATGTTGCATTATTTCAACAGAAGTTGAACAACAGTTTTCATGATGATGTTGAAAAAGAGATTGAAGTTTAAAATAAAGGGTAGAATTAAATGGTCAAATTACAAATTCTTCCCAGCCTTTTATTTTCAAGTGCTTATTAAATTAAAATTTGGACATATGTTTCTCATGTATATAAATTGATCTGCAGAATATAAGTATACAGGATATTCAAATAAATGAATTTAACTTACCAATTGAAAGCAAAATGTTCAAAAGCCAGGGTCATTTGGGAACCTCATGTCCACCTATTCCCATGGATTATTTTCCTGTATAAAAAAAAGTCAGTTAAAATTTGTCTAGCATTATAGTAATACATAAATAATGCAAATGATAGTAGTTACAGGTAGCAGAATTGAAAACCAAACTTAACCTTTAATATGTGAGCATCAAAGGTACAGCTTCCATGGAATGAAAGCAAGGACAAGATGATTTAAAAAAAATTCAGCGATATAGTTTGCTTACTTCAAGTGGGCAATAAAATCCCTGGAGTCTATCTTCTGATTGGGTGGGTATAATAAATGTATTATTAACAGTTTCTCTGTGTTTCCTGGGGGATTTAGGAAATTCGCAAGAACATAATGGTTCCCTAAGGTATTTAATTGCCTGAATGTTACACTAAATAGAAAGAAATGTGGGATAAACATGGAATATGTAATCTCTGGAAAAAAAAAAACTGAAATATAATTGATTCTGGTATCTGCTTGATACATTAGCAAAGGCAGCTTTTACTTGCACCTAGTTATTGAGGGAAAAATAATCAGAGGGCCTTAACTTAGTATAGCAGGTCCTGATGTGAATCGTTCTTTGAATTCCTTGGATGGCAAGTATGGCATCAAAGAAAGTTAATAGTTGCCTTTGAATTTATTACTACTCATAACAAAGTTCATAAAAGACATCCTTGAAATGAGCCAGACCATCCATCTAATAAACTTTGATTATCATATGTCTGCTGATAGAAAATTTTAAGGATTTTACTGTTAGCTTGAACTGCATCATGAGTGATTTTGATAGGTATCTTTCACACTGTTCATTTGTATATGTATCTAAATAAGAATTGATTTGTATTCTTTATATTAAATATTTAGAATTTTCTATATACTAAATCCATGCTTGAAAGCTAATAGGGAGGTGGTAAGATTAGGGTTGGGAACCATCCTAAGTTTGAAATAGGACAGAAAATGATTCATTATCTTAGAAGCCCTATAACATTCTAAGCACCTGGCACATACTCTATTTTTTTTTTTTACTATAATTCATTCTCTGTCCAAATATTAATTTAAAAGAAAGAAAGTAAGTGTCTCAGATTCTCTTTCTCCTAGGAAAGATTAAGACAAAAAATATCTGAAAACATGTTTAACAAGTCTATATTTACAGGCACTCAGTTGACAAAAACTAAATAATCACATTCAGAGTGTCCAGATAAGGTCTACTATCTTCTGGAGCCACCACCCGTCTGTGAGTTTGGCATACTGTGGTGGCTTGGGTGCTGCTGTGATGATGGAAGCTATGCCACTGGTATTTCAAGTAATACTGGGGTCAACAATAGTAAACAAGTTTCAGCAGAGCTTCCAGAGGAAGACAAACTAGAAAGAAGGACCTAGAGATCTACTTCTTAAAAAAAAAAATGGCCATTGAAAACCTTACGAATAGTGGTGGAACATTGTTTGATATAGTGCCAGAAGATGAGCCCCTCAAGTTGAAAAGCACTCAAAAGATGACAGGGGAAGAGCTGCCTCCTCAAAATAAAGTTGACCTTAATGATGTGGATGTGGTCAATCTTTCGGAACCCTAATTTGCTGATGCGGCAGAACTCAAAATGAGAACAAATAGTTGCAATCATCCATTAATAATTGAAACAGAATGCACGAAGTATGAATCTAGGAAAATTGGATGTCGCCAAAAATGAAATGGAAAGCATAAACGTAGATACCCTAGGCATTAGTGAGCTGAAATGGACTGTACTGGCCATTTTGAATTGGACAATCATATGGTATACCATGCTGAGAATAACAACTTGAAGAAGAATGGCATTGCATTCATGGTCAGAAAAGAACATTTCAAGATCTATCCTGAAGTGCAACACTGTCACCAAACACTAATGCCAAAGATGAGGAAGTTGAAGATTTTTACCAACTTCTGCAGTGTAAAATTGATCAAACATGCAATCAGGATGCATTGATAATTACTGGTGATTGGTATGCAAAGTTGGAAACAGAAGAAGGAACAGTTGTTGGAAAATATGGTCTTGGTGATAGAAACGACCCTGCAGATCGCATGAAAGAATTTTGCAAGTCTAACAACTTCTTTATTGCAAATACCTTTTTTCATTAACATAAATGATGACTATATACATGGACCTCACCAGATGGAATACACAGGATTCAAATTGACTACATTTGTGGAAGGAGACAATGGAAAAACTCAATATCATCAGACAGAACAAGGCCAGGAGCCGACAGTGGAAAAAACTATCAACTGCTCACATGCAAGTTCAAGTTGAAGCTGAAGAAAATTAGAACAAGTCCACAGAGCCAAGGTATGACCTTAAGTATACTTCATTTTAATTCAGAGGCTATCTCAAGAATAGACGTAACTCATTAAACAATAATGACTGAAGACAAGACAAGTTGTAGGAGGACATCATACATGAAGAAAGCAAGAGGTCATTAAAAAGACAGGAGAGAAAATACCAAAATGAATGTAAGAACAGACTCTGAAAGTTACTCTTGGAAGTCAAGTAGCTAAAGCAAAAGGAAGAAACGATGAAGTAAAAGAGCTGAACAGAAGATTTCAAAGGGCAGATCAAGAAGACAAAGTAAAGTATTATAATTAAATGTGTAACGACCTAGAGTTAGAAAAGCAAAAGGGAAGATCATGTTCCACATTAAGTTGAAAGAACTGAAGAGAAAATTCAAGCTTCCAGTTGCAATACTGAAGGATTCTAAGGGGAAAATATTAAACAATGTAGGAAGCATCAAAAGAAGATGGAAGGAATACACAGAGTCACTGTACCAAAAAGAATTGGTTGACATTCAAACATTTCAGGAGGTAACATATAAAGAGCCAATGGTGCTGAAGGAAGAAGAACAGGTGCACTGAAGGCATTGGTGAAAAACAAGTCTCCAAGAATTAACAGAATACCAACTGAGATGTTTCAAAGAACAGATTCAGCGCTGGAAATGCCCACTCCTCTACGCCTAGAAATTTGGAAAACAGCTACTTGGCCAACGGACAGGAAGAGATACATACTTATGCCTATTCCAAAGAAAGGTGATCCAACAGAATGAGGAAATTATCCAACAATATCATTAATATCACACACAAATAAAATTTTGCTGAAGATCATTCAAAAGCGATTGCAGCAGTACATCGACAGGGAACTGCCAGAAATTCAAGCCAGATTCAGGAGTGGACGTGGAACTAGAGATATCATTGTTGATGTCAGATTGATCCTGGCTGAAAGCAGAGAATACCAGAAAGATGTTTACCTGTGTTTTATTGCCTCTGCAAAGGCATTTAACTTTGTGGATCATAGCAAATTATGGATAACATTGCCAAGAATGGGAATCCCAGAACACTTAATTGTGCTCATGTGGAACCTGTACATAGACCAAGAGGCAGTCTTTGAAATAGAACTAGGGGGTACTATGTGGTTTAAAGTCAGGAAAGGTGTGCATCAGGGTTGTAT